AAAAAACGAATCATTCACTCAAAATGAATTTTGAATGATAGGAATGAGAAACTACCTCGGAAAGCAAAAGAAACTATCTTGACTTATTTTATCTGATCCAATTTTAAATTGCCGACAAAAATTAAGAAGAGATTTATTTATATAAATAAGATAAGTAAAGAAATTTGTATAGTGTATATTCACATAATGTACAGATTAAGCGACCGTGCCTCCAGCAACAGGTGACTGACTGGATCGTTCCAAAAAAAAAAGCGAAGAAAAAGATCAATACCATTTTAATCAGTCTTCTTTTCCTTCCGACCCCTGTACCAAATTTTACACGTTAAACATTTTTGTAATAGTGTATTCAACAATGCGAGTGTTAATTATCCGTAAATCGATGTAAGTTTTTTGATCTCTGCTTTCGATGAAGTGTGCGTGAAAACTATGTTTGCGAATATTTTTTAAGCTTTCTAAGAAAAAAATATTAAAATTCAAAAATCTTAAAGCGATGAAGAATTACGAAATCTTTACACTGCATCTGTATGTGACAATAAGAACAACTGTTTGTTTCGTTACACAAAAAAACACGATTCTTTTACAGTGACTCTTTTTTGTTTATTTACTAACGATCATATTTCGCGTATTTTTTAAAACTTCAAGTTTTTTTTTCTAATGCATAAACACGCAAGAATTACCAGCAAAAATGATTCAAATGTGTTTTTTAGCTCAGTTGAGCGACACAAATGTTGGTAGGAAGAAAACGTGTTGCAACAAACTTCTGAAAAGCGATATCTTTTTTTACAAATAAAAAAAAAACAAAAAACGCCGTGTCCCTATAAGACACAGATTATCATCGTTCTCTCTACCGACTCCTTTTCTTTAATGTGAATTGCAAGACATTCTTGGGAAAATAATAATATTGATTTCATATTGCATTTTCCACGGCTTAGAATTTCCTTCTCTTCGACTGGTGGCCATCTAAGGTTAGGGAGACTAGTATAGTATTTTTTATCCATCGCTGGGCTGAAAAGTTGGACGCATGCCTTTTGCAAGAGTGTTGTATTTGTACGAAAGTAAACGCAACAGGCTGGCCCAGAATTTGAACTCTCGACTAGGCAACCCAGAATCTGAACTCTCGATTCGGCGATTCCCACTTTCTCTTGCCTTCAACGTCGGCTGTAACATTTTATCACAGTCGACAGCAGGAAAATACACAACTATCTTAGCTACCAGGCAAAAAAACACAATTTGGATGTAAGATTTGTTACTTTTCCAGAAATCGCTTTCTTGTCTATCGTTTCACAGTGCATTTAAAATTGTTAAAAACCTTTAAAAAAAAAAAAAAAAAAAAGAGAGAGATAAAAGAGTAAAAGATTAAAAAATTGCTCTTCGTAGGAGTATTTTTTAGTGCCAAAATTAAAATAAAATGGGTGCGTTGTTGCCCATCTTTGACAGAAATTAAATTTTAACATAAATAAATAAGGAATTTTGCTCACGTCCGCCACTTTAGCGTTTTTTGTGTGTTTTTTTTTAACACAAAGAAAAATATTATCTTTTGACTACTGACACGTTGTGGAGAGGAAAAATGAATGAATGAAATTGAAATGCACATAAAAATTAAAAAATCAAAAATGGTTGCTGGAGAAATAAATGTCAACAAATTTAAATTATTCAGAACTAAACACAAAAACTATGAGAAAATTGTTTTTACTGTCTGTAAATACGAATAAAAATCTTGCATTTTATTTTATTAGTTTTTTAACATTTGATATCAGCATATGCTGGGGTGTGTGTGTGTGTGTGTGTGTGTGTGTGTGTGTGTGTGTGTGTGTAACTATGTCATGTTGTACGTGTTGATAGTTTTATCATGTGATACAAGGTGGACTTCATGTGCGTTTGACTTCAATCATATTTATTTATGCACAATACTTTGTCAATCTCTAGTCACTCTTAGTGTCGTTTTATCTCTAAATCTTTTCATATCGCTATCTTTTGTCTCAAAGTTTCCAATTCTGAATGTTGATACAGATGTCGTGACGTTCAATGTCCCTGCTCCTCTCTTGATTAAAAAAGCTATTAATTACAGTGTAATTTAATAGCTTTTTTTACACTAACACTACTAAATATGTATGCAACTAGAGAATTATCACTAAGAATTTGGACTTTGTCCCATCTCTAACTTAACGCAGAAGACGAGGGCGATCCTTATCAAATTCTTAATATCATTTTTACATGCGATGTGCAAATCCATCCTCGAAGATGGTGGGTACAACTACTACATGAGCGACACTAGTAAAATAAAAATACTTTTTTACTTGCATTTATTTTATTATCTTTTTTGACAAGTTAGGCTAAGAAGCAAAGGACATACTGCAAAAAAAAAAAAAATATAGTATACAAATTATGGTAAGTGTAGTAATCAGTAAGTTATTGTACAATTATTACAACTACAGTTAACGTTTGAGAGCTAAGAAAACACCGAACTTCAAAATATTTACGATAAAATTCCCCCCAAAAATAAATTAAAATAAAACAGAGTATCTGATTTTACAAGTACAGGAAAGAGATTTATTTAGTATCACGGTCGATGGGGTTTTGAAAGACTTGAATAAGAAAGGTCACAATATAAACGACGAAAAAAAAGCCTGTGTAATTCTGGAGCTGAGTTAAAAATAGAAATTAATTAATTAATACGAAAATAATCAACATTCTAAATGTGTTGAACAATTTTTTTAATCCAATTTTTCAACGTGAATTTAAAAATCATTTTCTAGTTAATAAACTAACTTTTTTCACTCTTTGTGTTGTGTAGTGAGTGTTAGTGGTAAGTTGTGTGTGTGTGTGTTTTTTTTAACAAAGCCAAGGCGGTATTTTTTATCGCTAAAGATAAACTGTACCTTCAAAGTTTATTGCACAAGAGACTTTATAAGCAATGATCCCAACTCTCTAGAAAGACTGCCGTATATTTACAATCCATCCCAAGAACAACCCATGGATACACACGCACATGCAGATCGAGAAACATTTCCAATTGTACGGACTTTGAGTGCTTCACACATACAGACAGCAACTTGAGTGGTTGTTACATAAGGTCGATTCTGATTGGATGCTTAAAATCTTTCCTCTCTTTTTGATTGGTCAGTCTTATCCACACCCCTCAATAAAGCAACATTCACAGTTTTACTCTACTGGGAATTTTAGACAAAAGATGAGGAAATAAATATTACGTCTTTGTAATTTTTTTTTTCTGGGAAAGAATTACTAATATTTATTTTCAAATTTTTCCTCAGTGTATCGCATATGTTAGCGTTATTGCGAAAAGTCCTTCAAGAAAATCACTCATCGTTTTTGGTTGTTTATTATTTTTTTTTTAAAGAAGAATTTTTTTTAATTTCGCACTGGAAGAAGTTGGCATTGTCTTTAAAAATAAGGGAATTTGGATTGTTATTTGAAATTCGTATTATCACAAAATTTAATATAAATTTTAGAGTAATGGACATAGTCGTCGAACATGAACGGTAGAGAGAGAGAGTTACTACAGACAGAGTATTATTAATTCAAAAATGTGTAACTCTTGCTTGAATGCGTTGAAGTCGTTTCGTAGAACAATTATTCATTTTTCAATCTGTAACTTAGGGGAAATTGTACTGGGGTTTTTTTTCCTTTTATCACAAGCCGAGTAGAAAAAAAAATTTAGTAATTATTTTCTAAAAATAAAAAAAAAAATCAACATCCTCGGAACAAATAGAATAATTTCCCTTAATTTTACTCGCGAAATTAAAAAGCCATAACTCAACAAGGGTAATTAATAGATAAAATCTTTGAATAGATTTTTTTCTTTTTAAGTGGAATATCTTTTTACGGAATATAACTGCACATCAAATTTAAAAAAAAATATTTCTTCTTAATTACAAGAAGAGAAGACGTGTGTCTGTTTTCTCTTCTTGTGGTCAGTAAATAAACGAAGGTGTAGGAATTAAGTTCAAAAGCTTTTTCTTGCATGTTGTATGAAAACAAAAAGTGATGCTTCAATTTCTTTTATTAAAATTCGGTTGCATTTTCTCAGTATTTATTTGCATTTAGAAGATTTATAAGACGGTTAAAAAAAAAAAAAAATTAGGAAAAAAAAAATGGAAATGTGGCGTCTTCCATTAACAGGCAAAACAAATATTTTTTCCCGAATTCAAAAGTTGCTTAAAAAAAGAAAAAAAAACTGAAAGGCGAGTTCTAGGTCAAGTATTAATCAAAATTAAAATATTAAAAAAAAAATGACAGTGAGCGACTTGGTAATTTTTTTTCTTTTCTGTCTGAAAAAAAAGTGAAATTGGGATGATAAATGGAAGCTCTATATTACAACTTTTAATAAGTCGTGATGTAAAAAGTAGTACTTCACATTACTATCGGGTGGGAAGAATTAAAGATAGAAGAAAAAAAAAAGAGAACGGCAAATAGAGAGAAAGAAAGAAAAACGATTAGGGGTGAAGGAAGAGGAGGAAAATAAAAGAACCCGGACCCGACTACTGTGAAATTTTGGGTGGAAAGCAAAGTGCGCTCTCTCCCACTCTCTCTATTCATTACCATTTTCTTCTTCTTCTCTTTCCATGGAAGAGTTCATTTTTCGTGGTTTGGTATAACCCGATTGTGTATACCATTTTACCGGCCCAGGGGAGGAGCAGGTTAGCTAGTTTCAATTCATTTTGCAGCTGCTCTGCTGACGCTAGAAGTGACTAGGGAAAGAATTTTTTTTTTTTAAATTACAGATGTCTTTTGATTTATTTGCCCAGTCCGCATCGTCTGTAGAAAACTATGAATTTTATTCTATATTATCATCGGTTGCCAGCCTTTCGGTGCTGGCTTTTTTGTGGCATTTAAGTGGTCGTTTTGTCGAAAAAGAAGAAGAAGTTGTTGTTGAAGGAAGAGGAGGTGGCCATCCGTGACCCGACAACGAAAAATCCTGCAGCCGCCGCCGCCGCCGCCGCCATCACCATCATCACCACCACCACCACCGCCGCGTCAACATGGCGGAGGAGAAGGAAGGTGTGACGACGGCTTCGTCTGAACAGAAAACGAGAGAAATGGACGGCAAAAAGAACTATGGCCGGCGAAAACTACCCAGCGATACTATTAGAGAATCCGAGGAATTCTTCGAGGTGGACAAAATTGTCGGAATGACTAAAATCAATGTAAGGTTTTCTTTCAAAAAAAAAAAAAAATTGTACTTTTTTTTTTCTTCTCCTATATAGTCTTCTCTTTCTCACACATGTTATTCCCCCTCTCTGTTTAATTCAGTTGTTCTTGCTCCTCCCCATCCTCACTCTCTTTGTATTTATGTAGTAGTCTTGAACACTTTCTCTCCCCCTCTCTCAATTAGTCTGCCTACATAAAAAGGTCTCTCTTGTGTTTGTCGTTTCGATTTTTTTTTTATCATATTTTGTCCTCCTCCCAACAACGAACACTTTTTTATTTTATCTAACACTTGTCTTTTTTTTTTTTTCTTTTTTTTTTTAATCTATAAGTCCCTTTTATTTATACACTTTTTCTTTCTTGCCCCCTTTAACCTCCTTTTCTTTCTCTCTATTTACATGCCAGATAGATTTTTCAGTCATACACTCACACACACACACAATGTGTTTACTACTACTTTTTTAAATTTTTTTACGAATAATCTCCTGTACTTAATAAACGAAAAAAATATAACTCTATATAAGAGAAATATATGTCTGACTAATTTCTCTTAAAATTATATATATATATATCAAAATTGCATTTTCCAATAACCTTAAAATACATTCGTCCAGTATTTTTTCCTTTACCATTTATTTTAACTGAAATCTGAAAAAAAAAATCTGACCGGATTGTGAAATGTATTTTTGCTAAAACTTTTTTAACATAGTCACGTACAAATGTAAAATTCAGTTCCTGTTGTTCAATAGACACTGGGGGAAAAAAATCTAGAAAAAAAATCCTATCATAGATAACTTGTATATTATTTTTATTTTTAATGTCGCTAATTCTCATAAAATCCACATTCTATCAAATGATAATAAAATCGCCAGTTTTAATTCACTAGAGAGAGAAGACATAAAATAAAATGCGTGTGTGTTTGGAGACCTCACTCATTATTACAACTACAAACAAGAGTTGGCCTCTTGGATAGTCGTCATTTATTTTAAATACCAATTTAGATGGATAGTTCTCTATTTTTCCATTTTTGGAAAATAAAAAAATTTGATTCTTTCTCTTGATAAAATAACTTCGATTTTTAAGGGAACGACGACTCTTTTAACAAAAATGGCTTGATGACTATCATTAACAAAGCTTTGGTTGCAAGACTTCTGAAAAGATGCTTTGTTACACATGGCACTAAAAGAACTGGTGTTTTTTTTTGTTTTTATTTTCATGAAAATTGTCGCTTTCGTCTGGATTCTAGCTTTTCTTTGTTTTACTTAGGTAAATGAGTCTTACTTTCAAAGTTTCAAATATTTCTTTGTCAAATGGACTTCTGCTACACAATCGTGATAAAGGAGTACTAGTTAACAGAACTTAGGTAATACCAATATTCTACTGGCAGTTATATATATATATATATATATATATATATATATATATATATATATATATATAAGCGTGTGCTGCCTTAGCTGAAGTGGGTAAGATTTTCTGTCAGCTATAAAAAAAAAAAGGTCTCACGCGCACGCACTTTCCTAAGTAAAATATAGATAGCCTGGGGGGGGCTTTATTATCATAAACAAATTTTATCAACCAGCTGAGTACTTTGTTTTCTACGTTTCTTCCCATCCTCTACTGAATCTGCCTTCGTAAATTTAGGAGTAGTAGATTATCCTGTGAATTATTCGCTAATCTTCCTCAATAATACACACGAATCATTAACCGTTTTATTGCCAGGTTGTTTTTTTCGAAATTAAGTATAAATTCTTAGTCTTTTAAAACTCTTCAGTTTTTTTTTTTTTTTTTTTTTTTTTTTTTTTTTAAACTAAATGATTTATTAAATTTGAAGTTAATTCTTTGAATTCGGAATCAAGCTTTTTAGAAATAAAAATTAATAGCACCCCCCACCTCCAAAAATGAAACCACTTTAATAATAAAGTAAAACGTATGTACACGTGTGTATGTAAAAATAATACACATACACACGGACATGCGTGTGTGTGTAGAGGCGTTTCGTTTGTGACACTTGACTGAACTGAAAAATAATTGCTAGATTTTTTAAAGTAAGACTTCACTTGACTCTCTAGTAATTAGTTAATACGAGTGATATTCTTTCTGATGGAAAATTAATTCTAGAACTTAATTTAAAGACTGTGTGTCTGCCGCCTTGTGGAAACTAGGCCAACAGTAGTCAGAGAAATTGCAGCATTTTTCCACCTCCTCTGTGTGTGTGTGTGTGTGTATTCTCTCTCTCTTCTTCATCTCTTCTTGGCCCTTCTAGACTAGATAAATACTTTCTCTAGAGTTCCTAACTTTTCTAGACTAACTTCATCTCCCACTTTGTTATTGTCAAATCTTGCAACTGTCTTTATTTCGCACGCAATATCAATGACATCTTTCTCTAGCACTTTTCTTTCTTTTTTTTTTTTTTTTTTTTCTTTTTTTTTAAACCACATTCACTTTGTTGTTGAGGCATAACTTCAAACAAAATACATTTATTGCCAGTGTCTGGAATTCACATATCTATACCAAGATTGTCTCTGCATAATTTACTTATAAATAAAGTAAATAAACGTGCTTTTCATAAATCTTCCCTCACCCCACCCCCAAAAAAAACAATCTGGAATTCATGAAATGTAACTTTCATAGTCAGTAATAAAAATTACATTCTGCATTTACCAAAAAAAAAAATTCTGATGGTTTGGCAAGATTTTCATATTATCAAAGTTCAAACTACTATATACTCACTCTTGTTCGTTGTCAGGCTTGTGACATTCAGCCTTATGTCTTTCACAAATTATTCAAAAATCAACATTATTTCTGGAAACTTACACAAATTAAAAAGGAAATCTTCCCCAAAAAGCTTTATGGCTCAAAAGATTTTTTGTCTCTAGTTATTATGCAAAATATCTTGCTTCTATAAACTGGATGTGTATCTATATACAACAATATAGCTTCATTTATAAAAGAAAGCATTTTTGTCCTAGCGTTTTATGACCATTTGTTGCTTTGTTTCTCGCAATTAGCCATGAGGCAAAAATCTGTTCATTGTCAGCAAGCAAGCAGCAACATGTCATTTACTAGTATTCAATCTTGTCGACGGCATTCCATCACTAATTTGATATGCATACAGGTTTTCTTTGCCAAAGTATTCTACTACATCACATAAGTAATCATTTCTATGTTTAAAAAAAAAAAAAAAAAAAATTCTCTCCCTTCCCGCTTTTAGCTTAAACACTACTCTGGGCTTTGTCTGCGAAATTGCCAAAATTTGAAATGAAACAAACTGGGTAACAGTGTTGCTGCATATATTATGCAAATGAGCCATTGTGAACTTGACTTTGATAATGGGGAAAATAGTCGCAAATAAATCAGTCTTTTATCTTCATTTTAACTCTTATTTTTTTTAAATAAACTGCCTTATAATTGGAAACTTAATTTTCATAATAAAAAATATACCTGATCTCTAAAAAAAAAATCGTTTTTTTTTTTTTGTTTGTTTTCTGGGTGTATCGTTTTATTGAATTTTTTAAATTATCTATGTAACGATATGCAAATGTATTCGTAATAATTGTTAATAATAGTCGTTTCGCACTGGTGTGATCTTTCGACACCCCCAATAATAAATGACACTGAAATTCTTTGTTTTTTGTTGTTTTTTTTTGTCTCGTTTTTTTAGTTTTTTTTTTTTTTCCTCCTTAAATATATTTTGAAGCAGGCTTATATTTTCTCTGCCCGTCTGGATCACTTAATGTTGGGAGCCTTTCAAAGGGAACTTACAGATTTCAATACACTAGTTTTGTAGTGGTAGTTTTTTGTTTTTAACAAATGATTCTATTTTTAATCGGCTTCCCTTAACATTTCATTTGTGTATTTTGGGGTAATAATAAGTAAAAATAAATTTATTTAAAAAAAAGCTAATGCAAATTTGAACAATATTATGATTGATTTTCATAAAGGTTAATGCTTTTTTATTTTTAAAAAAAAATGTAAACCTGCATTTGTTGTCATAACAAATGCATATATTATTAATTTTTTTAAATTGTCATATGGCTGTTGTGAAATATTTTTATTATGTAAATTGTAATGAGTCGAAGTCTTCGTCGTCATAAATTTATTTATTACATTTTTGTCTATTTCGCAACATTTTTTTTTTTTTTTTTTTTTTTTTACTTGACATATTTTAATAAATTTCTCTTTGTGAAAAATGTATCATGTTTTGTTTTTGAAATATTATAAAAATGCATAAAAATTTCTCCCAGATCCCCCCTGCCAGTTTCTTCAGCTATCGATATCGATTTCAAACTGGTTCACCGTGATTGACTCCACAACAACATGCTGCTCGGCCTGGGTTTTTTCTTTTTCTCTTTCTCTTTATGGAAATAGGGGTGGGGGTTGAAAAAGGAGACGCATTATATTTGCTTTAACTTCTTGGTACATGTGCTGGGAATGAGGGCAGTTAACCACAAAACAGTGTGTGGGTCGGGGAAAATCATGTCCCCGCCCACAACTCTTCATCTAAAACTTATTTTTTTAAAAAACCATTATCTTCTTTCCTGTTATTCACTCTCTCTTTCTGTCTCTTTCGCTTTCATTGTAGCTATTTTACCCACTTGGTTGGGGGTGGTGCCTGGTCTTGCTTGTCACAGATTATTACTGTTTCAGTGTTTATTATTATTATTATTTTCTCGGAAAATGTCGAGATTGCTTATGAAGGAGGCTAGAACGCCTTGCCCCTACTGGATTTACCTCTTTTCGGCTATTATTACCTTTCTTGGATTTTACCATGATGAACTTTATTTCCAACAACTCGGATTTTATTTTACCACCTGATCCGCCTTTGGAATAATTGGAAACTACTGAGAGGACGTCACGCTGACTTCATTCAAACCTGGAGTTCCGAGTTTTCATTGAAAACAATTTAAAAAAGAAAGACATAAATTAAATATTTAAAAAAAGCAAACAAAAAAAAACACCTATTGCTCAAGTAGTAAGTAATTGGGCCAAGGAATAG